TATATATATATATATATATGTATGTATATTACCATTAATTGGGGTTGAGAATCAAGCAAAACTTTGCACTACTCTCTCTCTCTATATATATTTTGTCTTCCTTTTTAGCTTTACTCCTATCTTTCGTCTCACCTGCATTTTTGCTAAATTTGTAATAGCCATTTGGCCAAATTGCAAAAATCAACTTATTTTGAGAAGTATTTTTCCAAAAGTATTTTTGACGAGAAACAGTTTGTGTTTGGTTAATTAGTTTGGAAAGCAATAATGAGCAGCAATTAGTGTTAGACCAAGATTTAAAAAATTGCTTCTAAGTGTATTTTTCTCAAAAGTGTTTTTGGAGAGAAGCTACTTTTTTCTGCTTCTCCAAAATTGTTTCTGTTTCTCCTCAAAAACACTTTTTTTCCTTCCAAAAGTTTGGTCAAACACCTCAATTTTTGGCCAAAAGTGCTTTTGACAAAAAAAAAAAAAACACTTTTGGCCAGAAAGAAGTTTGGGCTTGTTTTAAGCGACCTTTAAGTCAAAATAGCTTTTAAGCCATAAGTTAGGAATTCTAAATTTTGACTTTTGGCTTGTTTTTGTCATTTTAACTTAAAAATACGTTTTTAAAAACACCTTTTTACTTTATCCAAACACTACAAAATGGTTTAAAAGTCATTTTGGCTTAAAAACACTTAAAACAAACCAATCCAAACGGTCTCTATACTCTTTTCCTCATTCTTCTATTTGATGTTTTCTGTCTTCCTCAAATAATATCTTTTCTTGTTTATATATATTGGTAATTGTTAATAATGTTCCATTCTTCAGAATTTTCTTTATATCAAGGTAATTAATTGCTTTTTCAATCCTTTCTTCTTTCATTTGTGTACTCAGAAGGGAGAGATGGTGAGAGGAAAAACTCAGATGAGGCGTATAGAGAACGCGACAAGCAGGCAAGTCACTTTCTCTAAACGCAGAAACGGTTTGCTAAAAAAAGCATTTGAACTTTCAGTACTATGTGATGCTGAGGTTGGATTAGTTATATTTTCTCCAAGAGGAAAGCTCTATGAATTTGCCAGCTCTAGGTACCACCATCTCTTTCTTACTTTTCCTTATCAAACCTACATGTCAAAGATTGCATTTTTCTTTTCTTTCAGCTCGCATCAGATCTAATCTTGTACGGACCTGGAAAATCCTGAACAAAAAGTGATGATGTAAATGATCTATGTTTAGATATGGATGTAGATTCCAATTAGTTTCATTTAATACTTAAAGAAGGGAGCGAAATACAAATTTAGGAAGTTGACTGACATTCTGTCTTGTCTATCTAATTCAAGAAGAGGTTCTTCACAAACATAGTTGCAGTAATAGCTTCTCCAAGCTAAGATTTCATGATCAAGAGCCTTGGTACTGTCCTTAACCTAGTTAAAAGATTCATCTTCAATGAGATTTTATTACCAAGATAATGATACTCATTTATCAATGCAATTTTGTTCCTATAACCTAAAAAGGAAATAGTCATGTTAATCTCTTATGACCAAAGATTTTCTTGGAGTAATCAGAAGCAGTTGAAGTTCAAACTATATATGCTCCTCATCTCATGTGTGGTTTAAAGTTTAAAGGGGCCCTTTGGTTCAAGGTATTAGGTGAATTATCCTGGTATATAAGTTTTGGGATTAAATTTATCTTGTGTTTGATTGAGGATATTAACTAATATCGGTATTATTTTTATAGCAAAATCTTGGTACATCTTATTCTATATACATAAGGTGGAATATGCTATCCATCTTTTAATCATAGTTTTAATTTAGATTATAATTAATCCTTGAATGGCCCCTAAATATTTCTCGTTTGGGATTAAAACTAATTACTATCATCAAAGTTACTGTTACACATAAACTTGATTATAGAATAAGCATATATTCATCAAACTGACAAAGTAAATATGCTGAAGTGATTAACTGACAAAGTTTAAAGGAAGCCAAGTCTGCCTGATTTGTTTAGAATAATGGTAAATTAGAGGCGTCTCTTGTGAACTTCAAAAGTTTTAAGTATGAGAGCCAGTTGTCAAGTTAGTAATAGCTACTAGTACTTGATTTTATGCTCCCTGTCTTGTTTGGTAAAGGCTATACTCTTGGGCTGTTTCCTTTATTACACACCTTAAGAATCTTTTGGGCAGAACTATTTTGTACGGAAACCAATCCACAACGTTGCAGATCCCAAATCACTATGTGCCCTTTGAATATGATATTATTCTGTCGGTAAAATCTTCCATGCTAGTACTTTCTTTTCTTTGTGGTTAGTGTTTGAGTCGAGAATATCCATGTTATTACCCGCTAATTACTGCATCCCTAAACCATGTCAAGGAGACATTAAATTTGACAACCTAATAAATGTATATACCCCAAAGGCATGCTTCCACAACAGCAAACACAGAAACAAAATGAGAAGCCACACATAGTTTTATTTTTATTTTTTATATAATGGTATTGTCTGGATCACCTTATGTGTAGCTTTATTATATTCTATGGAATTACCTGCTACTTTCCACTTGTGTAGATACTGTGTATTTCCACTTGCATAGATACTATGTATTTCCGTCCACCAAAATTTGGGTATATGAAAAAAGAATCATCAAATGCTTTTGTTGTGTGAATATATAACCTTAATTATACATAAAGAAATAAAATTTCCTTCAAGTTCTTTTTTTTCCGGTCCAAGAGGGTACTACTCCCTCTAACAATATTCCATTTTATATGAATATGTTACTATTTGAGAAACAATAACATACCCCAGTATTAGCCCACATCGTGGGGTCTGGGGAGGGTACTGTGTACGCAGACCTTACTCCTACCTTATGAGGATAGAGAAGTTGTTTCCAATAGACCGTCGGCTCAGGAAAGCATAAGCACTATATTAATAAAAATATAGATAAGAAGGGACAGTACAAAAACCCATATAAAAGCAAAATAAAAACAACAAGATAATAAGGTGATCAACAATGAAAGAAAACAACGGTTAGTCATAAAAACCTACTACCAACATAAGTGAGACTGCGTGCCAATACTACTGTCATGAATACTCTAGATTACCTACTTTACTACCATAATCCTCGATCCCCATACATTCCTATCAAGGGTCATGTTCTCGGTCAGCTGAAGCTGCGCCATGTCTTGCCTAATCACCTCTCCACATCTCTTCTTTGGCCTACCTCTACCTCCCCGTAGGCCCTCCAATGTCAACCTCTCACACCTCACCGGAGCGTCTGTGCTCCCCCCTATGTTGCTCGGACTCTTCGAAAATGTGGCAGGATACGTGTCGGATCTTCCAATAGTAGTGCATTTTTGAAGGATCCGACACGGGTGCGGCTATATTTTGGAGAGTCCGTGCAACATAGGCTCCTCCTACTCGCATGACCAAATCATATGTTGCGCTTCTCGCATCTTGTCCCCAATAGGGGGCCACACTCACCTTTTTGTGAAACATCATTTTTGATCCTATCTAACCCGGTGTGCCCGATCTATCTCAATATTCTCATATCTGCTACCTTAATCTTCTGAATATGAGCGATCTTGGTTGGCCAACACTCAGCCCCATACAACATCGTTGGTCTTACCACCATTCTGTAGAATTTACCCTTGAGAAATTAAACAGTATTTCTTTGGATTATGATTTTCTTAAACTCTTCTTAAATATTTTGAGTAATTAACTATATATGCTGACTCATGCATTAGCAACAAGTTGATGCAGTCATTAATTCGAATTGGCTTAAAGAGCAGTCCAGTACACTAAGTTCTCGCTATGCGCAGGACCCGGGTAATTAAAGACCGGACCGTAATGGTCTATTGTTCACAACCTTAACCTACATTTATGCAAGAGACTGTTTTTACGCCTTGAACCCGTGATCTCCTGGTCACCCTTCATTCATATTGGCTTATGGTAAAATATTGGCCACCTTCCAATTTTGACCAAATATTAACTATCTCAGGAGTACTGCGAAGGGTACTTATGTTCTTATTACAACAATTGTTTGTATTTAGCTCCTTTAATTTGTTGGTCCCTGTTCAAAAGAAAAGAAAGAAGGATTAATAGGGAGAAATTGGCAGCATGCAGGAGATAATCGAACGCTATAAGAGGCATTCTAAAGACAAATTTCTACCTGAAAACCAAGCAGTGGGATACAATATGCAGGTTTGTGCCTTTTTTATGACTCCTTGGCAATTAGTTTTTTGCAAAAAAACGTAAAATCCAGACTTACTATAGCTTATACAAAAATGCAGCATTTGAAGCATGAGACAGCAAGTTTGATGAAGAAGATAGAACTTCTTGAAACATCTAAAAGGTTCAATTAAACCCTATCTCAGAAGCTATTTCATTTTAACATTTTTCTTTTTCCTTTCCCAGTAATTAACACTTAAGGCCGCCCTTCTAAAACAAATGGAATTTGCAACAGGAAACTCTTGGGAGAAGGTTTAGGGTCCTGTACCCTAGAAGAATTACAGCAAATAGAAAAACAGTTGGAGCGGAGTGTTAGCGCCATCCGGGCGCGAAAGGTTTAATTCTTCTTACAACCCCCAAGCAATGATCTATTCAATTCACTATTCGAGTGTGCAACTGTTTCATCTAAAAGCTTAAGCCGTTAGATAGAGCTCACGCTTACAACTACAACCCATTATAATCCCACTAGTGGGGTCTGGGGAGGGTTGTATGTACGCAGACCTTACTCCTACCCTAGGATAGAGAGGCTGTTTCCGATAGACCCTCGACATCCTTCCCTTCAAGAACTCCCCACCTTGCTCTTGGAGTGACTCGAACTCACGACCTCTTAGTTGCAAGTGGAGGGTGCTTACCTCTTGGTTAGATATAGCTCACGCTTATTTACTTTATTTTTTGTTCAACATTTGCTTCCAAAGTTCCTATGAATTTTAGGGAACTTGCTATCTTTTCTTTTTTCAGATGAAAGTCTTTAGGGAACAGATGGAAAGATTGAAAGCAAAGGTGAGGCTGCAATGATTGACTCTAAGCATGATTTTCTTGCTTCTTATGCTTTAAGTAACTTACTAATTGTTTGTTTCATGCGTTCTGTCTAATATCCAGGGGAAAGACCTTGCAGTTGAAAATGCAATGCTGAGGGAGAAGGTATATATCTTTATGTAACAGCCCAGCCCGCTAGTGATATTGTCCGCTCTAGGCCTAGGCCCTCACGGGTTTAAAACGCGTCACTAGGGTCTAAGGCTTGTTAACTTATATACCCAGCATCCCTATTGTGTTTTGCCGATGTGAGACTCTGTCTAAAGTCTGGAATGTTACATTTAGGTCACAAATATTTGAATACATATCCATTGGCACAATATGAAGGGCGGCTTTGGCGTAACATATAAAGTTGTTGTTATGTGACCAGGAGGTCACGGGTTAGAGCCATGAAAACGTCTTACAGAAATGCAGGGTAATAAGGCTGCGTACAATAGACCCTTGTGGTCCGGCTCTTCCCTGGAGCCCGCGTATAACAGGAGTTTAGTGCATCGGGCTGCCCTATTATATCCATTGCCACAGAGCGTAGTGATATTTCTCGCATATTGATTTAAAATTCTAAATCTGCATGATGCCTCTATCAACCTAATTGTGTTTTCTTTTATCTGAGTCACTCTATAAGTATAAACTTAGGCGATAAGTCATACTATAATTTGTTTTACGTTTGTTTTAGTTTGGAGGTCTTCAACAGAGACAAACATCAAGCGGAGAGAAGGAAGGAGAAGTTATTTGTATAGAGGGAGGTAGCGATAAATCGGATGTGGAGACAGAATTGTTTATTGGACCACCTGATGAATGTAGAATAAGGCGTCCCTTACAGAACTGATCATATATAGGTGAATTAGTTTTGGAGTACTATCCCTTATCTGCAGTTTAAATGTATAAACTTTGACCAATTATCGAATATTATTACCTGCTAAATGATTTTTGTACTCTCGCCAGCAATATATAGGCCTTATAAGTGGTTAATTTTCTCTCTTAGGCGCAGCTGATGGACCTTTGATCACTTCTGTACTTGGAATGTGTATTATATTTCCTTTGACATTATTAATCAATAAAGCTCCTTTCTTTATGAAGTTCAACACACTTTCACATTGTGTTTTCTTTAATTTATCTACTTATAGTTAATTAGTGATGTCGCAAAATTTTATTCGTAAATAATATATGAGCTTTCTATTTGTAATTTTACGTTGTCTTTTGGTCATTCTATATATACCTCACAACCTAACACCTTTGTAAAATAAAAATATTGTCCAATATAATATTTGTGTACGATTTTTATAATATAGGGGGTGTAGGTGATTGATTTTAAAATGCAAGGTGCGATATGCAAATGAATCATATTAGGGAGGTGTTTAAGGCCTCATTTGTTTGCACTTAATGGAGGTCTGAATCTTAATCATTCAGATCTCAGACATTAAGTGCGTTTGTTTTTAAAGTCTGAATCTTAATTATTCAGATCTTAATCATTAAGTGTGTATGTTTTTTTTTTACTTCACAACCACTTAATGGGTGTGAATAGATCTGTATGATTAAGATCTATAACAGAGACTTAATTTCATTAAGATGCCATCACATATTCATTATTAACTGCCGCCACCGCCTACCATTATCAACTACCAGTATGCCACCACCACCACATACTCAACCACCACCACCATCCCCACTTCCACCACGACCACGCCACCATCATCCTCAANAAGCAATACTTCGATGTCGTGGGAGGCCTAGAAGAAGCTAAGAAGATAGAAACTGTTGCCATGTATCTTCAGGGTGATGCCAAACTCTGGTGGCGGGTGAAGTACGAAGCCATCAAGGCTGGTGAAGATGCCCTCGAGA